CCGGCCTCCGTGTCCACCCTGCTCGGGAGCAGGAGCCCTGGCAGGCCGCCCCACACCCCAGGGCCAGCCTGATTGGGGGTGCAGGGTGGGGTGGAAATCCAGCGGGTGAGAGGGTTAACCCACCACCCCAGCCTTCTCGGGTGGGCTCATGCCCCTCAACCTTGTCCCCATCCACACAGCGACCCCTCTGCGGGCAGGCGGGAGGTGGCCAGGCCTGGCTCTGGGTTTGACATTCAGGTCCTCAGCTCTAGGTGCCCTGAGAGGGAGGGACAAGGCTTGGCTTTCTATGAAATCCAGGGTAGGGGGACAGTACCCTGGAGGCCCCCCGAGTCCCCTGCCCTCCACCCAGCTAGGCCTTCTGCAGCACCTTGAGGCCTGCGAGGTCCCCCAAGGTGACCCCAAAGACAGGGCACCCTCTGCTCAAAGTCAAGCCCAGGCTGCAGAGATGCCAGGCCCTGGCACTGTCCCCCCACCCCCACCCCGCTCCTCCCTGGTCACAGCAGCTCCCACCACAGGCCTTTTGGTTAAAAGAACCTCACGGAGTTCCTTTCCCCCCTCTTCTGCTTTTTACTGCTTTGGCCCTATTTTTAAATGCCATAAAACCCGCTGTCATTAAACTTGGCAGGCCGGCCCAGCCGGGGCCGGGGCACTTTCTAAGCTGGTTAGTGCCTAATAGTACAACAGCCGCCAGACCCAAGGGCCGGAGGGCGGGGGTGGCCTGCAGGGAGAGCCGCCTGCAGAAAACCTAACCGAACAGCTCAGTGAAACTGCCCAGGAGGCCAACAGCAGAATTCGGTGTAATGAGGTCCAAGCAGACCTAATGGTCCAGCCCCCAGAAGCAGAAAAGCAAAACACAGTAACACAACAGGGAACCCCAGCTCACATCCATAGTGCAGCAGATTAACCGAGTCAATGAAGGCCACCATAGAGATAAGATAATGCCTGGGCATATTTGTTTAGCCGCGAAGACAATGGAGGGAGGGCATTTGCTCATTAACGTGTTGGGTGGGGTGGGGGCCTCGTTCACAGAACATCCAGGGGATGACAGGAACTCCCATGGTGGCCGCCAGTCCCGAGAGGCACGACGGTGGCTTGCAGGCCAACCCCGTGGAGGTGCAGAGTTACCAGCCGCCTTGGAAAGTACTGAGTGACTTTGCCCTGCAGAGTGACATAGATCAGCCTGCTTTTCAGCAACTGGTGAGTGTCAGCTCCCAGCGCAAGTCTCCACCAGCAAGGAGGTTCTGGTGTAACCGCCTTGAAAAGAAAGATCCCGGGGGTGGAGGGGAGGAGGAGGAGCAGGCTTGCAAGGAAAACAAACCTCCCTGAGCCTTTTCTGTGAGCGCCGTCATTTGACCATCCAGGCTGCATTGTCTGCCAGTCCTCCCTTGATGGATTGGCTTCAAGGTGCCCGACTAAATCGCCTGCGTGGGAAGGCGCCGGCTTGCAGAAGCACACCGCTCTGACTTGGGAGTGCGGAGGGACTTGAGAGAGCACCTTGACATTTTAATCAGCAATTAGTATATGTCCCCCGCCTCGGCTCCCAGAGAACAGGGTGTTTCAGGGCCTAAATCAGGGCGATGGTAGCCATGTTGACGGGCAGGATCAGTGTCATTACCAGTGGGCAGCAGGCAACTGTCTGGGTGCGGGTTCAGATACATCAAAAAAGAGTCCAGTTACTATTCGAAGACAGGACCAATAGGTTGTGTTGCGATAGCCCTTTCTGGGACTGCCCTCATCTGAAATGTGGGACTGTTGGAACATTTTTAAGTATAGGAGTTCAAATTTCACACTCAGTGACACACTGTCAGGCATGTATTTAGCAAAAGGGGACACGAGTTCTACCCATCAGAGAGATACTAGGTGAAAATCTCTTAGAATGCTTTACACATCCAGAAAAGAGAAAAGGAGCTCACCTTTCACCTACAAAAGGCTTAAAGGTCAAGATAAATAAGATCATTAAATACACGTCCTCTGTGGTATATGTACACATAAGAGGGATTTTTTTGTGTTTTGTTTTTTTTTTGCTTAAATAGTAAACAGCCCTAGAGAATCTTCTATGACATAAGATCTATCCTAAAAGCTTGTTCCTTTCCTTGGAAATGCCAGTTTAATTGAGGTTAGCTTTTTACCCTCGCATTACCGGGAGGGCATTTCTTCAGCTGTGGCCACCATAGGTAATGGGATGGGCGAGAGTCCGGGTTCTCCAGGCCTGGCCCAGGTTTCTGTCTGCTAGTTGGCCGGGCTGGGAAAATCTGAGGAGTCCTTTGACCTCCCAGTGGGAAAACTGAGCATGTAGGAGAGGAAGGCGCCTCTGGAATGAGGAACCGTCACTTCTTTAAAGTCAGGTTAATCTCATGAGTTATTTGGGTGGAACCTGGACCCTAGAGGGCAGGTGGGGGAGAATGCGGGCAGCTTCCGAAAGGGCAGTGACGGATGTGAGCAGAAGGAGGAACCCAGGCGGGAGGCAGGGTGGGGGCTGGGCAGAGGAGCTTTGCAGCAGCAGCACTACTTTCTCGGCCCCAAAGAAGCCCCGTATTTATAATGCGATGATGTTATAATCTCTGGGTCTCCTCTGGGAAGGAAGAGCCCGGCTGAAAGAGAAAGAGGAGACGGAGAAAGGCCCACAGGCTGCAGGGCCACCGAGGAAGGAGTCCCCGGCTGCGAGCCCGTGGAGAAGGCCATCACTCTTCCTTGGGGCCTCCCCGGAATCGTGGTCACAGGAGCTGAGCGTTCGGAGTGTGTGTGTGGATTTTCCAACTCCAGGGGCGAGGCTGTGATGCCTGGAGACGGCACTGCTGCTCCCAGGCAGCACGTAGCCGGCAGGAGGATTTTATCTCTTGCACGCGTGGTAGAGCCGCGACGCCATCCTACAGTGGGAAACACGTTTGTTCTTAAATAATTGAAGGCAACATCAGGTTGGGAATTCAGGTTCAGCTCCCACAGGTCTCTGGGAGGATGGGGAATGGAGAGGCTTCCTCCTCGAATCCTTTTCCTGGGAGGCTGGCTGTAAGCCTGTTAAAATGGAGTCCCGTCCCCGGATGGCTCTCTCTCCATAGCTCTCTGTCCACACCCACGGGTCCCGCAGGCACCCACTCACAGGCCATCCGATCATCCTTTTCTGCACGTGATCAAAGCCTCCCTCATTCACTTCTCAACCTTCCACGCAGGTCAATTTCTCCGAGGGAGGACCGGGCTCGAACTCCACCGGCAGCGAAGTGGCCTCCATGTCCTCGCAGCTCCCGGACACCCCCAATAGCATGGTGGCCAGCCCCATCGAGGCCTGAGGACACGCACGCAGACGCATTTTGTCCCTGTTGGAGACAGCGGGAGCCCATCCCGTGGAACTCCGAAACACGAGTATTTAACGACCCAGTCCATGGAAACTGAATTGAGGAAATGAATGCTCCATGAAATGCACGAAGTCTGTTTTAATGACAAGGTAATATGGTAGCAACACTGTGAAGACAATCATGGGATTTTACTAGAATGAAAACAAACAACAAAGCGAAACCCGAACCCAACACACGCTATCCAGTGACCTTAGGAGGACTGAGGGAAAAAAAAAGACGTTTTTAAAACGTAGAGGATTTATATTCAAGGATCTCAAAAAAAAAAAAGCGCTTTCATTTCACTGCCCATCTAGAGAGAAGCAGTAGCGATGTTTCTAGTCCGCCCGCTCTGAATGGTGCTGTTTCTATGTCGTCCCGGCTTTGCCAAACGGGGAGCCGCAGGCGGAGCGGCTGAAGGCCCTTCAGGAGAGGGCGCTGGTCCGCGAGGTTTGCAGCTGACGTAACAAGGGGTTAATTGAAAGCCTGGGTTTCTTAGCATGTCCCTTTATTTTTTTCCTTTGGCCCCTTCTCCCCCGCCTCCTCTTTTTTTGAGATCCATCCTCTATCAAGAAGTCTGAAGCGACTTTAAAGGTTTTTGAATCCAGATTTAAAAACCGACTTATAAAGCATTGCAACAAGGTTACCTCTATTTTGCCACAAGCGTCTCGGGACTGTGTTTGACTCTCCTGTCTGTCCAAGAACTTTCCCCCCAAAGATGTGTATAGTTATCAGTTAAAATGACTGTTTTTCTCTCTCTCTCTCCTCTCTCTCTCTCTCTCTCTGTCTCTCTCTCTCTGGAAATAAAGAGGAAAAGAAAAAGGAAACTTTTTTTTTGTTCGCTCTTGCATTGCAAAAAAATTATAAAGTAATTTATTATTTATTGTCGAAAGACTTGCCACTTTTCATGTCATTTGACATTATTTTTTTGTTTGCTGAAGTAAAAAAAAAAGACAAAGGTTGTACCGTGGTCTTTGAATTATATGTCGACTTCTATGTGTTTTGTCATTTTTTTTCCTTAAATATGTGAAAATCAAAGCGCCATATGTAGGATTATATCTTCAGGACGATTTCACTAATAAACGTTTGGCATAGATAAATAAATAAACGCAACGGCCCAGGTCCCTGTTTTATATGTTTACCAGCGAGCCTTCAGGACGCCTGCAAGTAGTGCTGCCTGCGAAGGGGGTAGGCGCACAGGCCCTGCGAGGTCTCCCTGTTCGGCGAAGGCTGAGCCTGCCGGCCTGCATTGCGGTGGTGGGACCGCCCAGCTCAGTGGTTCTCAACCTTCCTCATGCCGCGACCCTTTAATACAGTTCCTCATGTGGGGGTGACCCCCAACCCTAAAATTATTTTCGTGGCTACTGCATAACTGTAATTTTGCTACTGTGATGAATCGTCATGTAAATATCTGATATGCAGGATGTATTTTCGAACGACCCCTGTGAAAGGGTTGTTCGACCCCCAAAGGGGTCGCGGCCCCCAGGTTGAGAACTGCTGGCCTAGCTGGAAGCCTTCAGTAGCAATCTTACTGGTTTTTGAAAATGAGATGCGGTCCTCCTGCCTGCCCCCGCCCCCACCTCTCCTTCCTCCTGTCCCTTTTCTTTCCCTGCACCCCCTGCACCGCACGTCAAATAGGAAGAGAGGCTCGTGTTTTATTTTCTTAAAGACTAAGTGCTTTCTTTCAACCAAAGTGTCCTGCGTGGGACTGTGGCAGGGACTCCTATTCCAGTGTGAGCTCTTGCTCACAGAGGGGCTATCTGCGTAGCCAGTGGGGCCGGACATTCCTACCAGCGCGGCCATCAGCCCCTGGAGAGGTGCTGCTGTATTTGTCAGGAGGAACAGGCGGGGAGAGGAGACAGATCAGCCTGTGTCTTCTTGGCTCCCCCACCCGGTCCCCAGCTTGTTCCCTAAGCCCGGCACCCCACCCCTGACTTCTCCCACAACGCCAATTCCAAAAACCTTGGAGGGCGGCTGGTTGGGTCTGGGCGCACAGAGGAGGCCCACTCGGGGAACCGCCTTTAGGGGATGGGGGCCCGTCTTGCACTCTGCGAGACCCAGGGACTTCCCTCTCTCTCACGAGTGTCCCCTGGCGTCCAGCAGTAGCCCCTGTGTGAGAGCCAGCGCCCTGCGACAGGGCAGTGGCCCCATCCAAAGCCCAGTGTCTCCCTGCTGCTGCTTCCTCCCTTTCAGGCATAGAGTGGGGGTTGGGGGCTCCACCGCGTCCCCTCCCCCATGATACTTGGACTCTTTAGAAGCTGGATTCAGGTGTCCTCGGGAGTGTAATGTCATGTTTTAAATATCCGACAACTCGTAATACCTAATACCTACGAAAGCGAATCCCAATCCTGTGTCTGTGGCTGGTGCCCCTCGGACCCCTGCCAGGCCAGCCTGGCTCCCAGCTCTCCGATCTCGGTGCCCCTTTCCAAACCTCCGCAATTCAGGGAAACAGGCTCAATTAGGCTTTTGTTTGGCCTGGGCCTACCGAACGGGTTAATTACAGGTCCCACGTGGGGGCTGAGAGAAAACAAACTTTGCATTGAGGATGTTACCGCGCACTAGACCTGCCCCTCGATTGCTTTGATTGTTGCCTGATGCTTGACAGAGGGGTAATAGTTTGGCTCCAGGTCACAATGGCTTGTAGTGTGTTGAGAAAAACAGGAGTTATATCTTATCTCACACAGATCTTCTCTGTGGGGGGGGGGAGCCCCTCCCGCCTCTTTCCTTTTTTATTTGCCTTTTCTTTTCTCTCCCTTGTCTGTTTCTTGCAGGGGACCTGACTCTGTTAGCTTCCTGTTCACAATCTCTATTTGTCTGCCTTTTCCGCTTTCCTCACCATCACACCTGGGTCAGACAAAGAACTGACCAGAAAGGAGCAGGTCCAGCGTGCATGCTGGTGTCGCCGGGAGTCCTGGTCCTTAAGCCCTCTCCCCTCGCCTGAGCCTCTGCTAGACCCTTGTGACCACTTACGACCTGGAGATGGAAAAAAAAAAACAAAATCCAAAACTTTATTTAGGGTTCGAATGCCATGGAAGGACTTCGGTGAGGCACACATCTTTGTGATGCTTCATCATCCTGACGTTTATTTCTAAGATGAGGACAGGGTGTGTGTGTGTGTGTGTGTGGTGGTGGTGGTGGTGTGGAGGGGGGGGTGATGTTTTACGTATATAGATGCCAGTCTGTCCTGAAGTCCACAGCTTGAATTGAAGTGCAGGACTTGGAGAAGGGGAGTGAGGAATGATTTGGTTTCACTTGCTGGATTCAAGATATTTGTTGCCTGACGGCGGAGAGTGGATGGATGGGTCGATAGCATCCCGGTTCTTGTATTATTCATAGGAAAGGTGTGTTCCCTCTCTGCTCCTCAGCGAGTGCTCTCCAGTGCGCAGCTGAAATGTCTCCTGTTTGCAGACCCTCTCCTGTGCACACACCCTTTTCTCTGCACACCTCTGCGGACCCCTCTTCCCATGGAATTCCTCTTGGTTGCTATTATCGTGGGTCCTCCCTCCCCTTATGACTCTGCATTCTCCCTTCTGGCCATTGTGACTCATGTCCTCCCGCTTCTGCAAGCTAAAACGGGGTGCACCTGACACCATCCGGCCAGGATGCTCCCCTCAGATTGGGGATCCATATCCGTATCTGCTCTCACAGACAGGAGTGCCCCCCCACTCCCCTCACTGTTTCAGAGCCGTCACCTTGTTTCAGTCCGCTGTCTTTCCTTTGCATCACGTGGACCTGGCTTTTCTTACCATTAAAAAAAAATTCCCTCCTCAGCTAGAATTACATGCCTGACGATATTTTCTTCATGGAAATAACATTTCTGATCATTGGAGATTCTGTGGGGGGGGGGTGTGTACCCACTTAACCATTCCACCACTTTTGTGGGATTCGATATTAAAAGGCGACTTTGTGCAGCTCTGCCTCTGGTTGTGAAACTGATCTTCGAAGGACCTTTTATTGGACCATCCTATCCGGCCAAAAAGACAGTGTGCTCTGAAGGCACCTAGAAGCACTTCGCCTTTCCCCAGCACCTTGAAATTCAAGTCATAAGATCGTTCTCCTGGGAACGCCTGGAAAATCCCAGGTGGACTCACTTAGTCTTTTCCCTCTTCTCTGAAAAGAAGAGGGGGAGGGGAGTTAAAACTCCCCCCAAACCACCAGAAAAGCTACCTTCGGTGGAACCCAGCCGTGAAGTCAGGTTTTAACCTCACCCCTCCTGTAAGCAAACTAAGCAGAAAGGACTTCCTTCTCATTTGCAGAGTTCCTGTGGCCAAGGGCTTCTGTAGAGGAGATTTCCAACCCAAATTATGCTTGAGTTCCACTCATTTCCTATTTTCTTCCTCTCTGCTCATCAGCAGTTAAAGGTGACGTCACAGCAGCGAGGCAGGTCACCTTTCCTTTGGGGGCTCAGAGGGGGGGTGGGGAGAGGGAGCCGGGGGTAATTTTTGTGCCTCTCTTTTAAAAAGCGCTCCTTTTGCAAATGACCCCACATCTTCAATCCCCGCGTTTAACGCTTTAACAATACCAACAGTTCACCGTACAGTGTGCGCGGCTGTTTTTCAGCTAACAGTGCGCGCGCTCCCTCAGGGCGCTGAAGGCCCCTTCTGTTTACTGATCTTTCCTGATTGTTGTTTTCTTGATAAGCGAGCAAAGCCACTGAACGGCGGTGGGAGCCCTGGCGCCGCAAACATAAACTTCACAGCTTACACTGTCCCGGGCCTGATGGGGGATCTCTCCACACCTCCGGGGGACTCTGAAGTGCAGACAGAGCCCCTGGTTCACAGGCAGCGAGGGAGGGGGAGGGGGAGGGGAGGTAACAAAGGGTAAGATTTCCCTTTTTATGGCAGAGTGTATTCCATTGTAAAAATGTCCCGCAGCTTTTTTATCCATTCATTTACTGATGGGTACTTGAGCTGCTTCCAAATCTTGGCTATTGTGCATAACACTGCAATGAACATAGAGTGCATATATTCTTTCAAATTAGTGTTTGGGGTTTCTTTGGATATATACCCAGAAGTAGAATTGCTGGGTCATAAGGAAAAAATGGGAAAATTATTGACAAGGCAAAAAACAAGCCTGCTCCTAACATTTATGTATACTGGGCATTGATAATTATAAATCAATTGACAAACTTTTGAATAAAATATTTCTCTGGCGCTGAAGCTGTGGCTCCGAGAGGCCCGGCTCGTCTTCCCAGCGCCGCTCTGCAGCAGACCAGTGGGTTCTTCCTGT